ATATCATACAACAAAAACTTCACATAGAGGAATGACCGAAAATATCAAGCAAAAATATTATTGGCCGAGTCTAGAAAGAGACGTAATTAATTTCGTAAATACATGTGAAATATGTCAGAAATCAAAATACGAGAAACATCCTCACAAAGTAATTTATAAGCCAACACCAATGGGATCCAAATAAACCTCTCGAGCATATTAATATGGACGTATATTCATTGTCAGGACAGAAATATTTAACGATAATAGACAATTTTTCTAAATTTGCCGCAACATACCCGGTAAATGAAACATCAATAGAGATTTGTCAAAGTTTAATAAAATTCTTTGCACATCATGATACACCAAGTAAAATTACCACTGATAATGCACAAACTTTCAAGAGTAATCTAATACAAGACCTTTGTAAAACGTATAAGATTGAATTGCTTTTTACTACACCGTACAACCCAAATTCAAACTCGCCGATCGAAAGATTCTATTCGACGATAAAAGAAAGCATTATAGCTTCACGAATTGACCATCGTACCAAAACAATTCAAGAATTAATTGATATAGCAATTTTAAGTTATAACAACAGTATTCATTCAGCACATGATTACACCTCTTTTCAAATATTAAAAGGAAATATCAATTATCAATTAAACTTTGAAAAAGACCTAAATTAGCTACATTATGAGCTTGCTCAAACATTCAAGGAACTTAATGACAAAATAAATTCAAAATTGAATGCCAAAAAGGCAAATGTGTTAAATAAATTGAATGAAAAACGTGAAAATGACCCAGAAATACCTAAAGCTACACCACAACTTATAAGTACATCGCGAAAATTAGCTTTAAAAATACAGCCTAAGTATAGGAAAGCCAAATTCAAAAATCAAAGACATCGTAAGGATATTAAAAGAAGATCGTAATTTTCAGGAATAAAATATGAAGATAATCTTCACAATCTTCGCATTCTTCAATATAAGATCGAAGAAATACCGAATCCTTTGCTACCAGTCTACCAAGGAACTAGTTATATAATAACCAATTATCATCATGTTTACTACCATGTTAATTTAACTAATATGAAAGATTGCATAGAGTCTACAAAATTAACCCTTTTACAAGTTAATCAAACTCTAAGCAATTCAAGTATTATGTCACCCTATTTACCTATATACGAACTCTTAATTGTGAGAACAAATAATTTAATTGATCAAGTAAAATCAATCGAATTATTTATCGATCAATATACAACTCCACAAAAAAGAACCAAAAGAGAACTTTTTAGGAAAGACTCAAAAATACCTATACGGCACGTTAGATGCTGATGACGGAGAACGTTATGATAATTACATCAGAACCCTCCAAGAAAATCAAAATAAATTACAACAAGACATATCTTCAACCCAGACAATTGTTAAAAAATTGACCGAAGATATCGATACATACAAATAAAATCAAAAGTGACCAAGATACTTTGTTAAACCGAATTAATGACCTCATGACAATAACGCAGTCTGAGACAACAACGACGTACCTATTGTTCGTCGATTTTAATCTGATACTCGGACGGAATGTAAGCTGGTGGCTCCCTACATTAGAACGCCAATGGTTACCTGACGTCACACCTGTTTTTGCCATATGAAACACCCCCTTGCTCCTCATACCGCAAGTATCAGTTAAAAATCGACGAACAATACTTCATTCTCTTACTTGACGACTTGGAAAATAATCTACCTCTATCATTCATGAGACACGCACTAATGTACAAACGGCAATTAATTTCGCAGAAATGAACATAATGCATCACAGTTTATCTAGGTAAGTATCAAGAGCTACGAGCCATAATCTCGAAATTTGACTTTTTTATACTTCCAATGTCTCAGCCAACATAGTGTTGAAATGATAAGTAACATTTCATTGATTTTGCCTTCAATTTGTAAAGTCAAAATTCAAGAAAATAATTATGATTCCCAAAAACAAGACATAATTAATTTGAGACGAAAACTACCATCAATCAATATTGACGAACAGTTAATACAAAATATCGAATTATTGTAATCATAGTTATAACACAGCATATACAAAAACAATCAGCAGGCTAACTTGAGTGACAGCCCGTGCTATAAAGGAATTCATGGTCGGGATGTCACTAGCGGCCATTTTGGGATACGAGACAGGGCCTGATTAACAATAATTTAGGTTTTTTCTTTCGTGTCAGAGTCGTATTCGCTTTAATTAAACTAATTTATTATTACTTATACATAATAATATTTATAATTAGTAATTTATTATTATTATTAAATATACAACAATGATAACAGATAACACCATAAATGACAACACGAATATACTAAAATCACTTTGAAAATAATAACTAAAATTCCGCTCTATACCGCACGCCTATGACCTCTGTCAGAAATAATAGTAGATTATACCACGAGTCAATAATGATAGCTATTATTCCCGAGGATTATTACGAACTGAGCCGCGTTAGCGGCGAGGGAGTAACATTCCGAGGGAATAATAGCCATTATTGCGAGTAGTATACTCTACTTTATTTACGACAAATTAATTTATTTGAGATTTTCAATGAACAAATTTCATCCGTCTCATAATTTTCAATACAAATCCACAAGCACTACACGTTTGACACTGACACTTTTGTGGAATAATGACCATTAATCCCGCTACTCGTCATTAATCCCTGGAGGAATAACATATGTCATTATACTGCCAAAATCACAAATATAATACGCACATTATACATCAGTCGTAAATAAACAAATAAAATAAAATTTCGACGTTTAATGACAGGATGGTATCCCCTAATGGCTGCGTGCGCAGAAAAAATGCGCGTGAGAGTTAGCCTGCTGATTGTTTTTGTATATGCTGTGGTTATGATATTCTTTGTACGTCGTCATTAAAATTATTGTCAGAAGAAGAAAAATCAAACTGATGTAAAAGTGGGATTGAAACCTTTCGAAAATCATCCCCATAATTTTCTCAAACTGAGTGAGGGAGGAATTATATGGCCACTTCTGACGACGCATTATCAAAATAAGGAGTTTTAGCAAGCTTTCGCATATTCAGCAATTATTATTATATAAATACGGGTTTGCAGCAGTATAGAATTTTAGTCTTTAAGTCAGCTTTGTCATAGAAACATCAAACATCAATGTAATTTCGTGTTTTAATTAAAATAAAACTTTTCAAAAACACAAGTTGCATTAAAGTTAATATAATTGTTCAATCAATAAACAATAATTTGAATTGATTATGTAGTCAATTTTTTCGCCCATCAGGTCTACATATTTTTTTCACAGGTAGGATGTTATGATACCCGCCTTAGATTTGATAATTGAACAAGGGTCGTAATTAACGACCGGTAACATAAGGTAATTTGCAGATTAGAAAGATACTAAATGCTCAACAGAAAAATTCGAAATGCAGTATAAAATAATAAGAAATTCCTTATGTTTTTTATAAAATAACAATACTTCTTATAAAATATAAAATTTGCACGCTTAATTTCGGTCGGTATTTCAATGAAAAATGCTCAATTATTTACGTTCACTATTAAATGCAATTTTGCATTCTACAGTAATGCACTTCACTCTTGCCTGTAACTTCTTCACTTAGATTAAATATCCCTTGAGTGATAATCGTGCAAATGGCCATAAGTCGAATTAGATCTGTCTCTCATCTTTGCTTTGACACAGATCAATGATCAATTAAAATCTGGTTCCTGAATTTTCCTCAAAACTAATCAAATCTGTATTATTTTTCAAAGAAATATTTAATAATACAGAAACCATTTGTATTCGGTTCTGAGCCTATATTATTCTTATCGAATATTTAATAGTTTAGGAAGAATGTGCATTGGGTATGGTGCAATTATTGTATTCATCAAGTATCAATAGTTTTTTATCGAATATTTATAATTTTAGGGAGCATGTAAATTTTATATCGGGCGGTATGTGTATCAGGCATTCATTACGTTTATCAAAGCGTCTATTACTTTTATCGAATATTTAATTTCTTGTCATGCATTTGGATAGATTAACTGGAAAATGTTTTATGCATTGCATTGGGAATAAAATATCGAGCGTATACTTTGTATTGATTGAAGAAGAGTAGAAGGTTTCTACTATGGTAGGTACCTAATTTTAATCTATTCTATTGACGCCACTGTAGGTAGAAAAGCTTTATTGAATCACTGTAGTTCCATCTGTAATACAGAGATTTGTTTTTCAATTTTTTTCTCGATAAAGGGTCGGTGATTCGAAAAAACTACAAGAGAACAAAAAGTTCCTAAATAAGGTAGAAAATTATTTTGTTTTTTAGAATCTACCATCGGGGCACTGCAAAAAAATTCAGGGGCAGAAAAGGGCGAATGACCCCTGAAAAAACATCACCCTGTAGATTCTGGCAAACGTTTGACATGTGCAATCATTTAGCTCCTATTGCGTAACCTATATTCCAAATTTGAGCTAAATCCCTAAAAAAAATATTAAAATTTCAACACGCTGTACCTTTGTTTATTAGAAATTTTAGTCATAAAATAAACCAAAGAATCACCCCCTTTCGTTTGTACATGATATTTAGGACCACCCTGTATAAATGTCTTGCAAATGACAAAATATTTTTCTTTTATAAGCTTATTTGTCCAATCTTTTTTGGGGAAAAATGTTTCAGAATAATTCAAAAACGTTTGTGATAGAATTCGAAATTCAAATAAAAGTTTAAAATAACCTTTATGACACTTTTTGCGTTTCACGCCACTGGCAGTATTCATTTTACTACACAACACTAAAATATGTTCATAAAATGTGATAATTTAGGTATATTATGACAGAAAACGTTAGTTTTTATTTCAAATTGCGATAAGTACGACAAGTACGTTAAGGTTTATAGTTTTTATATTGGTATAGCAATTGTGCAAGCTCAAAATAAAACGTGTTTTTATGTCTTCCTTTGGGCCCTGCCCACAATGGTACCTAAAAACTCACCATTATCATTTGCGGCACTACAATATCCAATAAAAACAATCAAATAACACAAACACATACAAATAGTACTAACGCGTAAGTAGTGGTACCGATCTTTCGCCATATTTTTATTTTCGAATGTCTTTCTTTTGTTGAACCTCACTTATATTGTATTGTTGCCGTGTGTCGGTACCACGGACAGAAGAGAGAACAGAAGACTGGGCGCTGACGTCACTTTCGGGTACTACGGTACTACTTCCACAAAGGCTATTTTAGCGAAATCGCTACCAAAGCCGCAGTAGTACCCCTACCTTTTCTTGAAGAAGTTTACGTCGATAACCGAGTTTTGCTATCGAGCAACGTTGTCATGTTGAGTAATTTTTTATTTGAAATAGATAATAGTAGGTATATTAAAATAAAAGTTGGAGAAGGCAACATATTCCCGCACGAATTCGAAATGAGCGAGTGAACGAAGGACGAACGGATGAGTGCGAAAATAGCCTTCTGGCACGCATATTATTTTCTCGATTTTGGAGTTATTGTTTTTTTTTTTTTTTTAATTTTTTGTGGTCGCTCAAAATTGGGAAATTTTCTTGTAAAAATTGTCAGTTCAAAACTCAGTAACTAAGTAATCAACTGACAAGTGGATTGTGGATTTTATTATTTTCATTTCATTTCAGCTTCATTCTGATTTTTGCAGGAATGAGTAGTCAATAAGGTCCTTGTAAACCCCTCAATAGCCGCACTTTAACTTGGAAAAAATGGTCATCGTCATCTTAAATTTTTCGAATTGATTGTAGGTATCATTATTAAAACTCAAATAAGGTCCTTTTTTACAGAGAATAGCAAATATGATAACTATTTTTTTCTGCCTCAGCTCTACAAACCTGCCAGCCTACGTAGATCGACTACAGCCCACTATGAACAATTAATGAACATTATTTAAATGTTGACAACTTGTCTACGGAAATATGCACAAATAGTTAGCTACGTAAACTCAAGTTTATTTTGAAGCAGCGAATTAAAGGTAGCCGAAGGATAAATAATATAAAAAGTTTCAAATTCAAACAGTGCGTGTCGCGGAAGAAAAGCGACTTGTTTATGTTTTCAGATACTGTTTTCATCATTGTACATAACGGTAAATTCAATAAGTATTGTAATTAGTAAAATACATACTTTAGGGTGTTGCGTGCCTTAGGCTCATCAGACTCTCCCTTGAATAGTAAGTCAGGTGTATATATATACATGGGCATGAATCCCTTCTGAATGGACACCAAAGAGGAAATTCAATGAAAAATCGCCGGGTCCCACGACTCAAACTCCATGGAAAAAAATCGCCCATCATTGAAGTATTGAAGCGTGTGTATCGAAGATATCGAGACTCATTAGTCATTATACAGAACTTAGATAAGTATCTAAAAACTGATCTGACATGGGGAACCAAAGTGTCCAAGATCACTATAGGAATCAGTCATATGTAACAACCCTATTCCAAAAGAAACTCTTTTATATGATGTTCACAATTAGTATATTATGATATAAGTAAGTGTTTTGTAAGTCGCAAGGGCTTTAAATGCCCTCTTATACACGCATATCATACGCTATTTTTTATTACGAATGCATCATAATCTCAAAAATGTTTCAAAAGTGTTCATTCATTTTGATAAGTAGTAATTTAAATGGCAGGTATGCAGGTAAATATCTAGGTAATGAAGGTAGATCGAACGTTTCTATAGCAAACCTTTGAAAAGGTAGACGCATCATAAACATCATTTTATGCACGCTGCAGCGTGCGATAATCGTTGATTATGATGCATGCGTAATAAAAAATCACTTATATTAGAAGTTAGATATATTGCACTAGGGCGTTGTTGATTGTAGACAGGTTTTTGTCTAGTCTATTCTTGACAATGTTCTTGTTTGGCAAGTTTATATATAGCGTTTTCCATTTGTCGAACCAGTGCAAAAAAAATATATCCTTATCCTTACATGTTACATGCTTTTAGAAAAAGATGCGGATACCCTCAGTGCGCACTGATTGACAAATGGAAATCGCCAATAGTTTAGTGCGTTCCATTTTCCATCGGTCGGTATACTACGCATACAAAGTTTTTTCTTAAGTCCAAGGATGCTTTCTCTTTCCTGGGCTTCTTGTCATGCCCTCTCAGATTTTGCTTTATACTTCCTTGAAACATGTTTACCATATGCAGCTCTGGACAGTAGTGTCCGCTCAGGATCTTATAGGTCTCTATTAAATTCGCCTTTTCTCTTCTTTCCTTTGAAGTTGTTAAGTTAAATCTTTGGATCCTGATTTCACATGGTAGATCACATGTTTCAGTTGAGATATTTGTAATTGTGTTTCCCATTTTAGATCCTGGCCTATGTACACTTCGAAATATTTTTCTTGGTTAGCACTATTTAGCATAACTCCATATATTTCGTAGTTGATCATTGGATTATTTATTCCCACATGAAGCACTACGCATTTCAGTTTCAGCTGCCATGTGTCAGCCCACTGTTTAATTGCACACAGGTCCTCTGTAAACTGATCCGATTGTTATGAATTGAAGAAGAGTTTAATGTCATCTGCGGCTTTTGGTTAGATCAGATATATACAGTATGAAAAGAATAGAGGCCAACACTGAAACTTGTGGCACAACGCTGATTACGTGATGAGGATCTGAACATGTTCCATTGACCCTGACCATGTATTTCCTGTATTCAAGGAAGGAATTACTTCATTGGTGATAGGAACGTCTAATTCTGTAATGGTCTAGTTTGTAGAGGAGTCTTTTATGTGGGACAGCGTCGAAAGCCTTTTGAAAGTACAGATATACTATATCCACTGGGTTCTCATCAATTTCTTTGGTCCAATTTAAGAGAATGGTAATGGCTGATCTTTGTGGTAGAAATCCGTGTTGTGACGATGGAATGGAATTTTCTAATAAGTCTTGAGATATCCTTTACAATTATTTTTTCCAGTGCTTTACAGAGTGCGCAAGTCAGACTCACAGGTCGGTAGTTTCTAGGATTGTGCTTGTCTCCGCTTTGCAATTTTTTTTTTGCAAGACGCCGTCTGTCATCGAGCTGTTAAACAGTTTTACCAAAAGCGGTATTAGAGATTCTGTACATCTTTTTAGAAAAATGGCAGGTATTCCGTCGGGTCCTGGACTTGAATAGGTATTTAGTTCTTCCATAACTTCATCTTGAGGTCAATTCCTTTGAAAATGTTTGGGATTAGCCAAGGTTTTTGGACATTGGTCCGGTATAATATTTCGGGAGAAAATGTATCTATTGTTGTCGTTATGATGCTTTCGAATTCTTCGTACTTGCCTACTGCTAAGTTTTTTATGTATTCGATGATGGATTCATAAATTCATAATTGCCGATGTGGAAGTTTCGTTTTTTAATTTCTTTGTTGGAGTATGTTCTAATCTTAGCTACAATAAATATATGGTCACTTTTTTCAAACGGTACTTTGGACTGTATCAATGACATCATTTTTTTATTGCTTTTTAGGAAGAGATCCGGTAGAAAACTTTGATTGCCTCTAAATGTTGTATCGAAGGTCACGACCTGATGACATTGCCATTCTTTGTAATAGTCACTGGGTCTTTTGACATGGTTTAGTCAATTTTAAAGATCTCCAACATATCTACTGGGCTGGGTGATTAATATCACCGCGCCGCCTCCAAACCCTTCGTTATTGTCTTCGAAAACTTTTAGCAGCATATTGTGAAAGACTGCATTTTCTTCAAGGGTGGTTCTTCCTGGTCTATAGTCTGTCGATACCTGTTAATAGGAAGTTTTTATCTGATATTTCTACATATAAAAACAGAGCATCCAAAGACCCATCGATGTGGTATTCTTTGTTGAGTGGTCTTAAATTTTGAATCCGGTCGTTTCGAATGCTGCATATACACACACGCCTCCATCTCCACCATCTTGTGAACTTCTGTCTGCTCTTTATGAAGAATGTTATGTCCGAAGAGGAATTTTAGACGCTCTTTGACCAACCTCTCTACAAGTTTAGATAAAGTGGATATAGGAGCAACTGGTCTATAATTGGGTGGATTTGAGGTTCTGACAGCATTCCAGGAGAGTATTTTCAAAAATGTAGATAATCCATCCTCACTTGATGCCCTCTTTATTTTTCAATAATCCTTTCAAATTCTTCAGGAGTGGAGGGCAAAAGTTAAAAAAAAAACTGATAGGTACTCCGAAGTTGGAAAATTTGATTGAAGGGTCAGAAACCGGTGGATGAGACTGCCAGAGTGTTAGCTAGAACAAAACAGTTATTCAGGAAATTAGAGTCAATGTTTAATTTCGGAAGAGATGAATTCTTGAATTGATTTCATTGATAACCGACCAAGCCTCCCGTTACTTATTTGAACATTGGTTAAAGCGCTCACAATAATAAATTCCTTTTGCATCACGAATGACATTCCTATAAATTCTTTGGTATCGCCTGAAGAGGTGGTTTCCCATTCTGATTTTGTGGATCGAATGTTTCAAGTTTGCCAAGAAATCTTCAATATGCTGCAATGGAGATATTCGAATGCCGAGAGCTAAGAATTTTTTAGTCTTTTCGCTTCTTATATGTAGAGTGCGTAAAGGAAGACTTATCCACCAACCTCGATAACCCAGAGTGAAAAGCAGGACGAGGATCTCTCTTCCGAAGCACAGATTCTAAATTAAAAATGTCACAGTCTATCCAAAGATAGTCTAACGCAGAAGCCTGATAATTAGTTCCACTGTAGATTCTTCCCAATCTTGTACTGATTGTAAAGCAATATTTTCATTATTATTTGAAGCTACATAACCAATAGTAGTTGATGAGGTTTAAAAAATTAGTCCTATATTTTTTTTTTCCATGCGAGCCATATATATGTATTGCACACCACCCTATTTTTGTATATACCGTGTGACAAAAAAAAATCACATCAAGCAAATATTTGGTAACCAAATTCTGTACATATGCTCGGGCTATTTAGGGCGAGTATAAAAAAACAATTTTGACATAATAACTAAAAGTTATCTTCTGGAATGACGCTTTATAAAACCAGCCCTAAAAGTAAAATTTAATTTAATGAAAAATATAAAAATAAAGTAAACTTTAATCAATAATTGTTATTTTTTACAACTTTATGTAGAAAATTTGGTAACAAATATACACTTTTAGTGGGTGATGCTTTTTTTTTGTCACATATTACCGCAGGTAATGAAACATTCCATGTTCAT